TGCACACATTCACAAACACACATACACACAGAGCCCAAACACAACTCAGAAAGTGAGTTTGCTCTATCTCACCCTGTGTACGTCCTCTTCGAACACAGCTTCATGGACACTGCATACAAAGAGCACTGTGGGGAGGTCACTCAGATCCATCATTTCTTCTGCTGCCACACTGTCCTGATCAGTCTCCCCAAACACCATGTCCTCTTCCTCCTCTTCATCCTCCTCAGGATCACTGCTGTAGGCCTCTGAGCCATTACTCCCCGCCTTGGAGCTCTCTCGCAACATAGTGAAGCCGTGTAGGAGGCTGCTGAGAGCCAGACAGGGACCACAGAGGTTGGGAACTGGGGAGGGGGGGAGGGTTAACAGATTGGAATTTGGTCAGATAAGGTGGATATCTGAGCGTAATGTTTGGAGAAAAGCATGGCGACCATGAGATGATAGTGAGACGCTATTATAGGGTTGTTCTAAAGTGACCGTGATAATACTACACAGGCTTTAGAATATTTTTATGGTTCGGTCACATCTGGCTATTAGTGACTAATAAACATTATATCACCTGCTCCCGGTCCAAAGTCTTCACTTTCACCGATTGATGTATTGCATTTTAAGATAAATATAGCTAAATATAAGCTTTACCTTCACATTCAAAACACATTGGTGCATCAAACCTAAAGATTCAGTCATAAAAATAATTGGTCTACAAAATGTCAGTGAAAATGTCTACCACAATTTCCCTGAGTCCAAGATGATGTATTTTTATAGCTTGTTTTGCCCAACCACGAGCCCTAAAATCCAAAATATTAAGTTTACCCTCACAGAAAGATGAGAAAACCAACAAATATTCACATCTGAAAGGCTGGAAACTGTGAACATAATGGATGAAACAATGATCAAAGTACAGTAGTACAGTTCAACAGCACCACAAATCAAAGCCTCCAAAATGATCATACAGTTGAATCAACACTTCTCTGAAATGGTTTCGACCTTTACTGAACACCTTGGATTCACTGCAGAACTGCTGTATTAAACTGACTTACATTTATCTTGGTGCACCTAATAAATTGCCAACTGAGTGTAGTATCTGGTTCACGTTCTGTTCAACTTTATATATAGGCATTATGTATGTCTGACCCTAATATGTGAAACTCAGCTCTTGGTGTCTGCCTAAACACCAACACTGCATTAGGAATTGAACGCCATCTAGTGGTATAAGCCAATACCTACCTATATGAATATGAAGGAATGAGTTGTCAATATTTAGGTCAAAGTAACATCTGAAAATTAACATGGCTTAAAATATATGGGTGAAATACCACATGGATTCTTTTATAAACAAAAAAATGAAATTCAACGACGTACAGATGGAGCACGACAATGACACTATAACATCACCTGTCTACAGCAGAGGATCACGACATCAACATTTGCATCGCGCGCACTCCAAGGAAACCCCTGGACATTACGTAAAGGACTCGTGCAAAAACTGTGACACGAGCGTTTATCAAAACACCAACACATTTTGAGACTTATATTCAAAGCCGAATATCGTTTAAAGCTTTAATACGAGTGGAATTCATACGGAAGCTATCACAGAGTAGTGGTAGCGCTCACACGGATAAGTTAGAGTTTACATTTTCATTTCTAATCGTTTAAAATGCAGATATTCTTCTTACTCACCTCACTACTGTCAGTGAAAGCGGCCGAAACAACCCATTGCAAGAGGACTAAAATGTAAAAAATGATTTTCCGAATGATAATCGGACAGGATGAAGCCGCTGATTTTTTTTTATGCTGCTGCCAGTGGCGTCGGTGTTTGTTATTAATAGATGGTACATATCTGATGCAGCCTACTCCAGCGTCAGGAGCACTAGGTGAGACCAATCAGATACCGACGGAGGCTGGCGGCGACCAATGAGGCTGCAGCAAAGGGGAGGATGCTCCGCCTCAAGGTTGGTGGCGATCAAGCATCAAAGTGGCACGAGCGTACTGTTGTGAACGTTGGTTTATTTGGACAGTCGACGTCTTAAAGAGACGAATCCCTCAGTTTAAAGATCAATTGCCTTACAGGAAAGTAACATCTACAGATATGTTTCTGTTGTCTAAGGTTCATCTTACACTTCAGTTCTCTGGATCTACCTGTTGCACAAAAAAATAAGGTAGCCTACTTCATTTTTGAGCAGTAAAGTTACATTTTAGTTCCTCAGTTAATTTTTTTTTTTTTTTAATGCCAGTACTTGATTTCCAAACAACATGATCTCAAATAGAAGCCAGGCCCATCAGTAGCATTTTTCACCCATCAAACCACATACTGGATTATGACTTCACAAACACTGACAAATTAAAGTGTTGTTCAGTGTCCCTAGAACAAAATCAGATACCTTCTATAGATTACCACATCACCAAGCCACCTCTGAACCTGGCTGGGTGTGACATAGATCTGACCCTTCTTCTTCGCTCGACGGATATTTCTGGTAGAATTAAACAGATCAGGACTGTATTCCATTGTCACATGTATTGTTTGAAAAATTAAATGAAATTTTAGTTAAAATATGACCAAACATAAACAGGACACATCACTCAAAATACACTAAAACTAGGCTCCATAAACTTAATATGGCACAAGGCTGCATATAATTTAAAAATGGGAAGATCTTTACAGCATAGGCAAGCTGTTTTAAAAGCTGTTCTTGTTTCATTAGAAGGCAGTAATAATTAGACAGGTCTTAGCTGGGTTACACAGTGATGCTAATGTTATATACAGTGGGTACGGAAAGTATTCAGACCCCCTTAAATTTTTCACTCTTTGTTATATTGCAGCCATATGCTAAAATCATTTAAGTTAATTTTTTTCTCTTTCATCCTAATGTTCTTGGACTTTCTCTGTCCTTCATTAGTACTGAAATTACCATATCAAAATGTTTAGCTCTTTTAGCCTCACACCAGTCTCTTCGGTCTCTTTCACTCTCTTTCTCTCTTTGTCTTCAGTCATATCCTACAAAGCCCTGATGCAAACATCTAAAAACATCTCTGATATATCAACACAATTTTATATCCTAAAAATAATATGCTCTACAGTGTGCATTCAAGCACAATAAATTATTGATCATTATCAAGCTCTACATGTATGTTTAGATATACAATGGCTCTGAAGAAATACACATACATACACACATATATATATATATATATGTACACAGTGGGTATGGAAAGTATTCAGACCCCCTTAAAGTTTTCACTCTTTGTTATATTGCAGCCATATGCTAAAATCATTTAAGTTCATTTTTTTGGCTGTATTAGCTCAAAAGGGTGCTTCTACTAAATACTGAGCAAAGGGTCTGAATACTTATGACCATGTGATATTTCAGTTTTTCTTTTTTAATAAATCTGCAAAAATGTCAAAAATTCTGTGTTTTTCTGTCAATATGGGGTGCTGTGTGTACATTAATGAGGAAAAAAATGAACTTAAATGATTTTAGCATATGGCTGCAATATAACAAAGAGTGAAAAATTTAAGGGGGTCTGAATACTTTCCGTACCCACTGTACATTTGAGTGAACCACAAGCCATACCATCAAAATAACCTCATGGCTGAAGTATTGTGCTAAGGCGTCTAATCTCTGTGTAGCCCTCTACTGCATTAACAAAGTAGAAATGCAGTGCTGTGGGGATGATAAATGTCTTAAGGTATCCCTTTTATGCACATATTCAAATATTTCACTTATTGCAGCATTATTTAACTTAGATTTAAATTTGACGAGGTAACATTTGAAATACATTCCTACTAGGTAGAAACATGATGATTGAGCAACAGTAGCTAAATACTTTGACTTTTGCAGGTTAAACTTAAAGGGACCACCCAAATGAACAATATTTATTTATTTAGACAGGCACTGATATAGTTCATTTGCCTTCTAATAACTGATCTGCTACTGCAGTTTATCATTCACCTACTACCTGGTTTATGTAATTCCATACAGTAATTTGTCCAGTGTAAAGCTACTTCCCAAGGCACACTTGAATATTAATAAATACATTACAGTACAATAAATTCAAACAATTGCACCCGTTCTTTTGTAATACAATGAAATCCCAAGAACAAGAGGGAGAAAACTGTGGAGTGAAAACCACTCACAGTATAAACGGCAAGAGGAAGGTATTTAAAATCTAAATGTTCATGGTAAGTATTCTGAAAATGCTTACATTACATCATTGCTGGTAACAACATGGAACTGAGGAGTACCTTCAATATCCTCAATGGAAGAGCAGCTTACTGTCTTATGTCCCCATTAATGAAAGAATGTGCACAAAACTGTTCAACAGCCATAGAAGGTGAGTATAAGGCAGTATGCTTCAAGACCCTACACTCTGCTGTTATATTTCTGAGGTCATGTTTGTGAATCTACCAAAACATCCAGAAGCTTCAGGTTCATTCTACTAATTACTGGAATTAATACAATTGATGTTTTTTTTTTTTTTTTTTTTTTTTTTATTTCTTTTTACTATTTACGGGAATTAATAAAATTGGTGTTTTTTTTTTTTTTTTTTTTTTTTTTAAAGAGAGGTTCTTAAGGTTTTGGTTAGGAGATTTCAAAAACAAAATGATGTGAAAAAGACTGCAAAGCAGTAGGAGAACACCTACAAGCAGTGAGCACCCCTACTGGGCTGGAGGTCAGTCCTGTGTTTAGGTGAAAAAATTTGAATATGCAAAGCTTGGCCTTTTAAGGTCCTTGAAAGTTACAGTTGGACAGAGTAGAAGGGGAAATAAAAAGAAAAGAAACCTTTGATTCTAATCTTCCTTCAGGCCAGGCGGGCCACAAGATGCATCAGAGTATCTGGAGCTGACTGGTAGTTGTTCAAGGTTGACCGGCAGAGTTGCAGGAGCCACTCCATCATTGTTGGCCAGAGTCCCATAGGAGAAGGAACCATTGGTGCTTGGCTGAACCATTTCACCCTTGTCATGAATTGTTGGGACACCTAACAATAGAAAGACAGGTAATACAAAGTTCTTAAGACAATTTAAAATATAGCTGCATGCACCACACTCAATTTCTTTTCCAGCTGCCAGATTTTGTGACTGCAGTTTATAGGAACAAAGGAGCTTCTCCATAAAAATCTTAGTTTTAAGCTTTAACAGATATATTTTTCTATATTTATGTGAAATTTATACAAACCATTAGTCATATCCATGGTGACATATGGTTCAAAGGCCTTGTTCCTTTTCCTGTGTTTGGTGATAAGAAAGACCCCCGGGAAACAGGAGAGTGATCTGTACAAAGCACAAAATTACCAGGTACAGCTTTTATGTAAAATGGTTTAACTGCTTTATACAGTACAATATTTTTATACAAGTCGTCACAAATTACCAGCAAATGTCTGTTTTCTCTGTCTATTGATGTTTGAATAGAACAGGGCAAATAATGTTATAGGGCTTTTTCACAACAGACATTTGGACATGTCATAGTAGAGAAAGCACAGGTGTTATTAATGACAATAACGATCACCGTGTTTTATTCACTTGTCTCAGGGAGCACAAAAATGGAATACACCCATCATTCATTTAATTTTTAACACCTGTGCTAAAGTCAAAATGACTTCTGAGAAGAAGTGACAGATGACCACTCACCCCAACGCAAACATGCCGATGTGAAGGGAATTTTCATTGTTAAACTCCAGGTAAAACACAGCTCCTGAAAACCAGAAGTGAGAGGGAGAGATACTGTACATGGCTTTTTGGGATGTCCATGTTGTGTCTCTAAAGAGATCTCTTCTATTCACCTGTTAATCCTGACCCAATTGAAAAACTGACAACTGACATAATAAAAACTGAGCAGCAATCTTGGGCAAAAACAAACCTAAGTAAAGAACACCACAACTCACCAGCTACCACAGCAAAGGTGGTGGAGAGGATGTAGTTGACACTGGCAATAAGAGAGGAGTCATACAGCTGACAGGCTTGAGAGAGAAATCTAAGACAATAACACATAAAAATTGTAAACAATGACTATGTAAGAAAAAATACTGAAAACGTATGACTTATTCAAATGCAGTCAAGTATAAAAACTTCAATAGCAAACCCATATATGTATCTTTATTATCACAACATACTGTATAACAAAGTGCAACTGCCTTTCTAGCTACTGTCTCCCCTGTTTTCAGTACTGTAAATACTTTATATTCCAGTATTTCACCTGGCTTGGAAGATCACTGAAGCCACCATGCACACAAACATGACACTGAAGATTGGGTTGTCAAGCTGCATGTCGCCCTCAGCAGTGAGAACCAACATGCTTGACACTGCCTTCACTGTAATGACTGTGACAGAGCCTGTGCATCAAAGACAAAAGTACAGCTGAACACAGAAAAACAATGGAGCAAAAGCTGTTTCACCACAACTTTGGTGCCTATTGAACAGTAAAAATGCAGTGTATTCCAATAAAGTATGATAAAAGAATGACTTTACAGATGATATGAAACTGGTTGGCCCTAATGCCACAGACTCACCCAGCAGAGCGACCAACAGCAGAATAATAACAAGGTAGTTAGCGCCGCGCTGTTTGTAGAAGTATAACAGCAGGCAGAACGTGATGATCTCCAGGAGCTGTCAGTAAATTATAGCAATTATAAACACCAAATGAATATCAAATAAACAAATCAGGAAGCTCACAAAGGTTCCACAATTGCACAATTAATCAAATAGCCAGAGCCAAACATTTATATATTTCAAACTCAGTTGGTTTTGGTTGATATCACAGGAGCTGATTCAACCTGATGGTCATGTTTATGGCTCTTCAATTGTCCTGTGTTTAGTGTACTGCCAACCTTCTGGTTTTAGAGGCTTTTACTTCCTGCTACATTAATGCGGTGTTTGTGAGTGATACACCAGCTTGTCAGGGAGTGGAACAGGTATTCCACCTAATATGACTCACTTGTGCAGGTGCATTTGTAATTGTGATTCAAAATAGTTACTCTATAAATGTGTGGTGTATCAACCTGCTGTTATACAGGATGAAAAGACACCGTCAAAGAGGCACATCATTACCAACTACTGTACACTTTGACCAAAAATGACTGAAAGGAACAGGATATGTTTTTAACCAACATGACAAACCACAGCCTCAGAAATGACCACTAGCTGTATCAGTGACCAAACCTGTGCTGCATGACTGTTTTATTACTTTTAACAGTGTTACGGTGGCAGAACATGAATGATGGGTACAATACTGTAGGTGTGGGAAAATTGCATTTTGTAGGCCCATAGGTTATAGAACTGTCCGAGAGGATTGTTTTATATCTGTTTAATGAGTGTGGGGTGGAAATTAAGCACAACAGAAGACAGGAAACAAAAAAGTTCATGAATCTTTCTACCTCTGAACTTCCAGTACATGAAAAGGTCTTACCAGATACAAGAGAACAGGCCACCCCACAATGTGCTTCACAATGTTCTCTCCTGAGAGTTTCTCATGAGAGTTTGGTCCAAATGTTACGAAGAGGTATGTTCCTGCTATGGTCAGGATACAGCCCAGAAAGGACAGCACATAGCGCTCTGAAACAACACACAGGATTCAGCTAATTAAAACTAATAAATAGACTTTAACATGTCATAATCACAGTACTTTTTAAGCCACTTAATTTTCATAAGGTCTTATATTGCCAACAAAATATTCCCTGTACACAAACAAACCCTTTGTCTGTGTGTCATTAGAACAGCTAAGGAGGTAGGATGTAGTTTGCCAAGTGCCGTGAGGTTGATTAAGAGTTTGCATACGATGATATAAATTCCGTGTTATTAGCATGTGAGCATCAGTGCCATTGAGACAGCATCTTGAGACATACATATTTTAAACTTACTTGCAAAGTCCTTTGGTTTAGATTTCACACGCAGAAAAATAAAACCCAAAATTAAGCTTGCTGAAAACAAAAAGAAAAGCATAATGTAAGATGTTAATACAGACTTTCTCGTTAATTTGTTTCATAAAGAAATCTGAGTGAAGTTAGACATTTCAATTTGCAGCTTCTTTTTATTTTTTGCCAAAAACGTATCAGTGATTATGATGATAATTTATCTCTGGTCAGTACAATAAACACATTAGAAAACAGTACTGAAAATACTTACTCAAGACAGACACAGCATTAAGAGGTGCTATGAGAGCAAGAGGGGCAAAAGCATAAGAGACAAAGTTTGCTGCCTCCCCAAGACATGCCAGTAAAAAACCACACCACCAGGTCTTGGAATGGTAGAAGGCACGTGGGTCGTTTGTTCCCGCTAACTTCACATGGCTGTATTTCTGTGAGTGAAAAGCATGTAGGTATTGTAAAACACAGCCTTGACTAACAGGAGGTAAACAAAAAAATCTACTGCTCACAGTACACAAAGCTTAGAGTATGATGTTATGTAAGCACAGAGCACTTACAGTCCATACAGTAAGAGAGCATATTAACTGGCTTTTACCTTACTTAAAGGAAGCTTGGATGCCATAGCATGCACCAAAGTATAGCATCGATCAAAGGTTTTGGACACACCTTAACATTCAATGATGTTTGTTTCTATTATGTTCTATAATGTAGTTTAATACTGAAAACATCAAAATGAAGAAATACCACACAAGAAATAATGTAGTGAGCTAAATTCTAAATTAAGCAGAAACTTCAAATTTGCCACCTTTTGCTTTGATAAAGCATGGAAATAGAAATAAAAAAAATAACTAATTGGACTTCTGAGGCTGGCTAACTCAAATTAACCTATCTTCGGCAGTACAGGTAACAATTAGTCTTGCGTTCCTGGGGTGGTCCTCATGACAATGACTTCCATCAGTGTGTTTGATGGTTTTTGCAACTGCAACCTCATGAAACATTTTACTGCATAATTCCATATGTATCATTTCACAGTTTTAATGGCTCCATTAATCTACAGTGTAAAAAAAAAGTCAACAAGAAACATCGAATGAGGTGTGTCCAAACATCTGACTAATCCTGTACATTTAAGGGCGTTATTATATACCTGAATAGTTAAGGAGATGCTGACGATTACATTTCCAGAAATGGCAAATACAGTCCCAATGAGATTGTCCTAAAGAAGAAACAATCATATATCAAATTCAGTTTTGTGAAACAAAATTACCAAAGAATAAATGTGCAATTAAGTTAGCATTATTGTTTTAAAAACATTCCACCTCATTCTCTAGATACTCAACAATGAAAGCAGTGTTATAATATCGGCCATTTTTTATTGTCACACTAATCACTAGGTCAAATATTGGTATCTTCAAAGTTCTAGTTTAGATATGAAAAGAAGCACAATACAGATACAGACTGTTTAAACATCCCTCGAGGTATTTAACAAACGCTAGGAGAAGAACAGGTAAAACCAAAGTATTAACATTCGATTAAAAAGTGTGTCTCACCGTGTAGGAGACTCCGATGGCTTTGCTGATATCCATCCTGTTCGCTTTCGGAGGCAATTTATTGATTATTGGCAGCAGCCAGACAGTCAAATAACATATTTCATAATGTCACTTTGACATTATGTATTTAAAGCTCATATTTTGGTTCTATCTGGATCAGTGCTGTGGAAGACGCTATATTTACAACAGGAAATATTCGAATCTCTCATTTCCTTATTGACTTCACTTCTGTTTGGACTGCGTAATGACGAAAGACGCAATTTACGTCTGTACGTCACAGTAAAAAAGAACCGATTTATTTATTTATTTTTTACAAATTTCGTAATTGCATAACAGGAACTGCAGTTACGTTATATTCGTGTTACTACTTCTACACTACCAAATCATCAAATTGACCTTCACAGCTTTTCCTTAAATTTTAATGTGTTTCCTATTGTTTGAGGTAGTCTAGCCAATAGCCTACAGTACCTCATGAGGACAGTAGGCTGTGCCATTGGGCTGAAATTGATTCAAGAACATTTAAAGTTAAGGGGGATATCGATCAATTTAGTTGGCACCCGAATTTAATAAATTATTGGGCCCAATTTAGAGCACTGCCACTGAGTCATTAACTATCACCAATCTAAGACTAACTGTTTGTTCAGCCTCTCATATATCCATTACAACCACACTACATGTCCATGAATTGACTGACACAGGATTGACACAGGCTATTTCTTCTGTACAAAGCCTTTCTTGACTGCCACGCCTGCCACGGTGTTAATGTTGGAAAGAGACGTGGCGCTGCGTAGATTTCTATGGCGCAGACTCACAGGAGGGAGGAAAACAGAAAAGAAGAACAGGTGTATCTGTCTCAGGGTGTTAACACCAGGTATGCCAGTGAATGAATTTTTCCACTGCCTCATAGGAGATATGAATCATATTGTCCATGGTAAATACACCTTTCAATTATCTTCACAATCAAAGTGTCAAAGATGTAATAATAACAAAGGACGATATAAGATTATATCGTCACCCTGCATAATATGGTTGTAAACATATAGTTTGCTTTATAGTTAACAATTTCTTAACAATTTCGTGATTTTTTTTTTTTTTTTTGCTAAGATTTTCTCCTAGTTTATTTTTAATTAAAAGTATTTGATTCTGTTTCTTTCGTTTAACGGTAAGTTTGTTTGTTTGTTTTATGCACATTATATATTTGCAGAATTATTACACATATAGTTTGTGTAAGTAAAAAAAAAGGCAAGTGTATTCATATAAGTAATAAAACATGATATGATTAATCAGTAATGTTAAAACATCTCAAAATATAAAACAAGTAACAGAATCTGCGACATTACATTTAACGAAAGCTTTGCACAAACAGTAAAAGCAAAACACATGTCCCAGGTTAGATTTGCACACAGGACACATAAAGCATCAGCACATTCTGATACTTTTAATTTTAATGTCACTTGAGTATCGTTTTTATATTAAATTCATTTGTCATGGATTTAATTTAATTTAATGCAGTGCAACAATTCATTGCCTTATCTACAGTTAGAAACATCAAGAGTGCATTTGAAAGCCGCTTTCATGTTTTTGAGCACAACTGACAGACAAACATCATAACTTAACCAAGAAACTGCATTTCATGTGTTATGTCATTAAATATGCAAAAAGCTCCACAAAACATTTCAGTCATTATCATGCCCTCAGAATGCCCCCATAAGTAAATTCAGATTCTTAATCTTGTCTCATGATATTTAAAGTTAAACAGATTTTTTTATGAGCTTGCAGTCATGCACTTCTAGTCCTGGAAGGCAAAGGTGTATCTCCTCATCAGGACATTAGGTCATACTGCATAGTGGATAGACCTGTTCAGTGCCACCTGTGTGTCTGTGTCCACGAGGCAGCGTTGAAGGCCCTGTGGAAGAATGAGTGGATAAATGAGTGGAAGCAAGTTTTAAAAGCACAGGACAACAAACAGCTGCTTTTGCTGGTTTACTATTTGCACATTTAGAGCCAATGTACCCGAGTCAAATTCCTCATGTGTCCGTCACACCTGGCCATTAAAGCTGATTCTGATTCTGATTTAATTACTGATTAATCTACTATATGTTGTCTTGATTAATAAATAACTGCTTAATCTTTTCTAATAAAATGTCAGAAAATAGAGAAATATTTCCCAGATCAAAATAAAATCATGAATAATTTTATAACCATAAAAAACAACTCCTCATATCTGATAAGCAACAAATGTTTAGCATTTTCTCTGAGAAAGGGAGCAAACAGTAAATCAACTATCAAAAGAGCTGCAGATTATTTTTGTCACTTTTAATCTTCCAGTTGTTTCAGCTCCCTTCCTTTGTGTGTGTCACAGGGAGGAAACTGAGCCACAGGCTTTTTGCTTCAGGCCACACAGAAGTTTCCACTGACTTTTGCATGTGTAGTGTTTCATATAACAGAATGTTTTAAGATGCTTTTTTATGTTCAAATTTACCAGAGACAGGGCACTTTTTCATGTAATGCTTCCTATAATTTCCTATATAGTGTCCGGGTCCTCTTGTCAACCTGGAATAAGAACACAACATCCTAAAATATGAGATATTTTATACTTACTTTATATTTAGGGTACTATTTATTAAAATATAATTGGTTTCTTATACTTGTGCCAGATGCGTGGGTGCAATTCACTATCTTTTGAGGAATGCACGAACGTTAGCCGCAAGCACAGCGGTGTGTATTTTAAAACTGCCAGGCCCATTTAAAAAACTAAACAGACCTGCATCCATTTGTAATGACTGAAGAATGTGTGTACGTTAAATAGGAGAAGGAGATGTATTCATTATGGCACCATGCAACAGGAAGTCATTTCTGCATGAGGTGTTTCTCCATCTTATGAAGGAATGTTAACACGTTATAAAGTGGTGGTGGTGGTGGAGGAGCAGGCTTTTCCGAAATCCTCTGCAAGCCCAGGCTTGTTGGGAACATTTCTAGCAGTGACTCCTAAGTGACAATGACAACGTTGTTAAGAATGCTGGACTGAATATTTGAGAGCTTTTGAGCACAGCTAGGGACTGTGGGCGTAATCCTGCTTGCGTTAACAAATCAATTAATATTGTGACTTTTGGGAGTCCTTCCAGAATTCTGGTTTCGGTGACTCTGTGTGCTCTTTAGTCACTATAATAATACGTATTACCTTTGTATCAAGTGAGAATGAAGGGAATATGCATTTTCAACAGTGAGAAAAGATTGTTCACTCATTCAGTTTCTTCAGGGACTATCAGGAGGGTCAGTCAGTGCTGAGTCCGCATTGAGCGGAACACAGGGAAGCAAACTAATTAGTTTAAAACTGAATAGAGGAATCATACTTTTTATGCCTGGCACATTACTTTTATGATTAGTTTTGCAAACACAATTTCTCATGTCCCATTTAGCGCCATAGTTTAGCCATTCATTCAAAGATTCTTATGAATAATCCTCCTCTGTAGCAGCCCTCAGCCTTTTATATGATACCTGTCAATTTCCACCTTTGGTAAAAATCACAGTGATTATCCCTTTCATTCATCCTAATTACCCTAGACTCTTTAGCAAAGGAAGCCTGGAACAAAACATCTGACTATTGAGACAGTAATCAAAACCTCCTAGTGGCCCTCTGGCCTGCTCTTTATTGTTCTACATATCCTGCCAGGCTATTACGTGTGAAAGAAGAATTGCTGTGTGTTAAACTCTGTACTGCATGAGCACAGATGAGAGGTTACAGAGATGAGATTTCTGCCTGGACCTCCATTAAAGACTTTAGATAGGGAGCATGTCAGATGGAGCACAATAAAGAGTATATAGTCCCTTCAGAAAGTATTCAGACACATGACTTCTTACACACTTTTTTGTGTTATTTTATTTTAAAAGGGTGTGAGCCATTTTGCCAAGCAATCTACTCTCTACAAAATAAAAATGTTTTAGCAAATATATTACATTTCTTTCATTTACAACAGCATTTAGACACTTTTGCAGAGACACTCCAGATTGCGGTCAGGTGCATCCTGATTGCTTTTATTATCCTTGAGATGTGTCTGGAACTTGATTGGAGTCCACCTACAGCAAATCTAACTAACTGGACATAGGTTTAGAAAGGCACACACCTGTGTATGTAAGATCCCAGGACAAAAAAACAAGTCATGATATTCAAGGAACTGAGTAGACGTCTCTGATAAATCTGTGACAAGGGATAGGTTTGGCCAAGGACATAAAACCATTTCTAAAGGTCCGACTGTTCTGAGGGAACATTTGAAGGAAGGCAATCATCTCAGCAGCTCTCCATCAATCAGGCCTTTATGGCAGACTGAAGTCACTTTCAGTAAAAGGCATATGAAGGCCAAATGAAGTTTGCCAAATGGCATTTGGAAGAGCATGAGGAGAAAAAATTCAGTGGTCTGATGAGACAAAACTTAACTTGTTGGACAGAACTCCAAACAATATGCCTTGCAGTCAGGAGGCACTGCTCATCACCTGGCTAACACCATCTCTACAGTGCAGCATGGTGGTGGCAGCATCATGCCACGGGTGTGCATCTCAGCAGGGACAACCCCTCTGAGGCAAACCTATAGCTATATTTACAGTATAACTATTTAAATTGACAAGAGCTTATTTTTTGTAACATGAATTTTAATAATCACGTCATCAATTACATAATATTTTAATGAACACCAAGTCAGACATTACAAAGATATACATGGCTTAAGTGCTCTGGGTTTGAAATTTTCTGACAAGAATCCCACATGACTCAGGGCTTCAGTTGTAGGTGCATGACTTGGCGCTAATGTTTCATGATGCATTGCACAGTGCATTTCTGCTCTGCTTCTTAAGGCCATGCAGTGACACATGATTGACTAACGTTTAAACTGATATTTTTAGCCTAGATTATTTTACTTTTATCTTTTAGTTTCTCTGAGAAAACTGTTTTATAGGGTTACATCTTTGGCCACTAGCTCACCTGGCAAGTGAACCACTCCACTGGAGCAGCTGGACTGGGGTGAGGTCTGCTTTTACACTTTTCTGCTCCGTGGATTGAACCAGGAATGCTCTGGTCACTTTTTTAACCTTTATGTCACCACTGCCTGTGTTTTGTATTTAGTATAAAATCTTACATCTTAAGATAATAAAAAAAACTGTTATTAGACATTTGGTGTCAGTAGCTATTATACAGTATCCTGAGACTGTGATTTTTCATGGATGTAAGTGACCCAAACCCTGT